CAGATCTGTTACATGAAAATATTAGAACTGTAGAAATTTCAGAGATGAAAGGAAACAGGGAGGTGTATTAATTAGCCGGGCCACAGGCATGGGTTTCCTAAACTCTGCTCCTGACCTGTAGTCACTCAGGAAGATTTCATGTGGATGCTGAAGAATGAAGTCCTTCTACCCAAGTGGATAATTAAAATGTGTGAGGGCTGAGAGAGAACTGAAGAATTGCTAGGCAAATAAACATTGTCCAAAGATTTAAATTATGCAGGCGAGGAGAGAGGGCTTAAATTCTCCAAAACTTTTTGGCTACTTTGCCAATGAGCTTTATTTTTAAGAATACACAAATCATTAATGACTAATTTTAAGCTGTTCATCAAGGAAATCACTTTGGCAATAGGTTTTTTTTTTTTTTTTTTTTTAACCAACTTGTTTTAGGGTTAAAAAAATCTCAGCTGTTCCATTTGGTTTAGGGACAAGCAAAATTTAAATTTCTAATTTCCAAAGCAACTGCATATTTGGCTAATTAATTCTAGCATCTGACAATGAAGAACCAGAAGAAAGAACAAAAAGTTTCAAGTATACTACCAAAAGTTTTTAGAATAGCAAAAACTCCAGCTGTGTTTTAATCTCCTACAGTACTACACACTTTACTAATCATCTTAAAGATTTTTTTCAATAATGTCTGGTCCAAATGTTAAAAAAAAAAAAAGTAAGCTGGGTATTGTGGCCCATGCCTGTAGTTCCAGCTACTCAAAAGGCTGAGGCAGGAGAACTGCAAGTTCAAGGCCAGCCTCAGCCACCTAGGGAGACCCAATAACAAATAACAAAATAAAACATGAAATAGGATTGGGGATGAAGCTCAGAGGGAAAGCACCCCTGCGTTCAATCCCCACTACTGCCAAAACAAAGTAGTAGCTAGTCACCAAGAATGCCAAAGGTCCCTCAGATAGTCCCTTCCCACAATATATCAGGTTTGTTCTGTGTACTGGTAGAAGTGATGGGCTGTCATTTCCAAGATTAGATACCAAGATACTGTAGCTTCCATCTTGATCGCTATGATACACATTCTCTCTCAGATCACTAGCTTTGGGGAGAAAGTTAGCTACCATCTTGTGAAGTAGCCTATATAGAGAGGCTCGAGTGGTATGAAACTGAGACTTCAGCCATGTGAGTGTGGCATCTTGGAAGCTGTTCCTCCAGCCATCAAGCCTTCAGGTAATGGTGACCTTGGGAGAGAATCTGAGTCAAAAGCCCTTGACCAACTGAATAGATTTCTGAACTTCAGAAACTGTGTGAAACAATACTAAATAAATATTGTGTGAGATCATTACTAACGTTTATAGTACTGCCAAATTTGGGGAAATTTTTTTTACACACCAATAGAAAACTCAAAAGGCAAATAAACTTTAGAGGAAGCCAATCACACAGGGCAGCTTCTGTATTTCCTTTTTTTAAAAATTGCTTTTATTTTTTAAATACATGACAGTGGATGTATTTCCTTTAACTCGTGTCATATACTAAGTAAAATTATGTAGCTTGGAATAGTTCAGTGTAGATCAGGCCTGACTTGCTATATCAATTACCAATCTGGTAGGCTGAAAATGTGCTATAAGTTACCCATAAAGCAACGACAAAAAGCAAAGGCAACAATATAGCAGATTACCAGTTTTTTTTTAGATAACCTATTAATAACCCCTTTTCTGCATTTTTTTTTTCAGTACTGAGGATTGAGTAGCTCTACCACTTAGCTACACCTCCAGCCCTTTTTATTTTTAGACAGGATCTCCCTAAGTTGCCCAGGCTGGCCTTGAACTTGGGATCCTCCTGCCTCAGCCTCCCCCATCACTGGGATAATAGGTGTGCACCATCACATCTGGCTCTGCATCTATATTTCAAAAGAAAAGAGCAAACACTGAGGCTGTGGTGTAACTCAGTGGCAGAGTGCTTGCCTAGCATGCCAGGTCCCCAGGTTCAATCCCCAGCACTGCAGGGGGCGGGGGGACTCTCAAGAGGACAGGAAAAGTATAAGCAGTTTTTTTTTCTTTAAGTGCTATAAACTTAGATTTGAGAGTTGGCTGTCATTTTCTAATTGTCATAATAACCACATCTACCTACCTTCCCACTTTCACACTCAGATTCCTATATCTGTTCTATATATCTTTCTTTTCCCTCTTGCCAACTAAAAGTTCACATACCCTCTTGCCTACTGGCCCCATTGCTTTTCTGGAATGTCTAAGAATGTGTGGACATACACACCACTGTTTATATTCCTAAGTTCCATAAGAACCATGGTGCTAAAGGAAATAGCTCACTGTCAAATCTTCAAGGCCACATATTTATATGGTATTGGTTAGATCAGTGGATCTCTGCCAAATAGATAAAGGATGTCCAATAACCATTTCTCTCCTTCTTACACACCCAATCACCCTAATAGGGAAGAGTCCCCTTCTTCCTGGTATTCTGGGCTCCCTAACATTCAGAATTCTCAACAACATGCATCATTTACCCCCCTACACACACACACACACACACACAAAAAAAAAAAAATACACAAAAACCCCAAGTGTCCTGAATGTTCTACAGTAGGGGGCTGTTTACCAGTAATTAGAGCCAATGAAAAGTGGAAGTTCTGTATTTTATCTTGAGACCAGTTACACTGAAAACTTTCTAAGAGTTCACCAATATCTCTTCCAAACTGTAGTTCTAGGTGGTTATGTTGTCTCCAAATTTAGCTTTCAGAAAAGGTCACGAATGATGTTTCTGACTTCCACAAATGAGATGAGTAGGTAAGACTTTAGTAACTGAATGCAGCAGGCCTAGTGGGACTGAGTGGTGTGGTTCAGGATCACCTCCATGCTCAGGTTTAACCTTTTTCATGAAGTCTCAGCCTTCTACAGACAAGAAACTTGAAGAATTTCAAGGCAAGAATTTAGAACTTTTTTCACTTCTTCCACCTTCCACCAAGACCTCTTCAAATTCCACTTAAGGTTTTATTTCTTGTTTTCCTGTCTTTAGGTGTCCAGGTTCCATTTTCCCAAAAGATACCCAGAAATTTACATCGACACTTTTTCCACACTAAATTCTGGGGAAATGTGTACTCTTCAGACATAGGAGAGTCTTGCTAGGATCTCAGAGTGTCTGCTGTTTCCAATGAGAAGTAATGTGAACAGAAGAAAAGGGGTTTGGGATGTAGCTCGGTGGTATGGAGCATGCTTAGCATACATGAGGCCCTGGATTCAATTTCAGGAACTTTCTCTTTCTCCCTTTCCAAAAAAGGAAAGAAAGACCAGAAGATGTGGTCAGAATAAAGTAGAGTAGCTGATGCTTCTTCCAGTGTTAGCTTTCTGTTACTGTAACAAATTCCTGAGAAGTTAAAAAGTTAAAAAGAAGAGAGGTTTACTCTGGCTTACACTGTGGGAGATTTCAAACCATGGTTGGTCAATCTGTTGCTTTAAGGCCTGTTTCGATTATGATGGGAGAGTGTGGTGGAACAAATTGCTCATCTAATGGTGACTGGGAAGCAAAAAGAGGAAGAAGACACAGGAGTCCCAAATATCCCCTTCATGGGCACACCCTCCAGAGACCTAATCTTCCGACTAGGCCCCACCCCTTAAAGGTTCTACCACCTCAGCACAGCACCACAGCACGGCAAACAAGACCTTAATACACTTGCCCTTGGGAAACATCAAGCAACCACTCCCCCCCCCCACACACACACACAACTAAAAAAAAAAAAAAACACTTTAAACAGTTACTATTTAATTTAATCCTAACAATGAGGATTAAAAAACTATTATCAACTTTTTAACAGTTGATTCTGGAGCTTGGAGGGGGCGGAAATGCTCGAGATCAAGACCACTAATAAAGTTCCAGAACCAGCATTCAACCCAGGTCTACAAACTCAACTGTCTTTTGTTCTTGCCAATATGTAGCACCACCTTTCGTGGTCACCCCATTTCTGAAAACCGTGCTTCTACTGCTCCAGGTTTAAGGAACACTGCCTTGTTCTGAGGTCTGACATCCAAGAATCTTGTTGCTCTGCTTAGGACATCAGTCATCTGCACATCTAAAAAATATGCTATACCCCTGCCAATCAGTGCCCACTATCCATCCCCAAAACTTAACAAGAAGAAACGAGGTTAGGAAACTAGGACAGGGCAGAAAGTTCTCTGCTCTGCAAGGGTTGAAGTCAAGTCACAGATAACTCAAACGAACAATCAGCCAAGTCTCTTCCTGGGACAATTCTAAATCAGTCCACCTGACAGTACAACTTCTCCCCAGAAGACTCACTCGGTCCCAACATCAAAGTTCCGACGTTTCTGGGAGTCACCCGAAAGTGCGCAGAGAGAGGAAGGGCACTGTTCAAACTAGCAGTCTGGGCGCAGCGACTGGTCTGAACCAACCACCGACACTCCAAGAACAGAGTCGCCTGCCGGGTCAGGGCAGTTAAAGTCACGGTGCTTCAAGACCCCATCGGAATGGAACGACGGTGAGGGGACTGTGCTCAAGGGGACAAGACCCCCAAATAAACAGCAAACCAAAAAACTTTAGCAACCGGCCCGAGCCACCCCAAGTTCCTACGGTAATAAGTTTTTGCAACACTTTTCGCTCTTTTCCTGCGCAAAGCGGCAATTAAGGAACTGAGGAAATGAACCTCCCTCAGGCTGGAGACCCAAAGGGCAGGAAGTGGGAGCAGTGGCCATTTGTGGGAAAAGGGAAGGAGAGGCGACCAGGGAGAGGCTGGGGCACCGCCCCCACTTCCTCAGCCCCAGCCGAGGTGAGAGGCCCGAGGCTTTCCCCAGGGTGGACCTCCCGGAGCCGAGCGGGGCAGCTGCCCGGGCTTCGCCCTTCGCGGGCCCCGGGGAGCGACGTGTCCGGCCGCTGCCCAACCACAGCCCCGCGGAGAGCGCGGGGACAGGAGGCTCCAGGGCACTGGGCGGCGCACCCACTTCCCCAGCCCGCGCCCCACCCCGCCCGGAGGGGACCCTGCCCGGGCGCCGCGCCCTCACCTGGGACCCTGGCCGCGCCGCCTCGGCCGTCCGCGCCCAGCCCGCAGCTCTTAAGCGCGCCCCGCCCCCTCCCGGGGCCGGACCCCAGCCGTCCCCAGCCGATTTGTCATTGAGCAGCTCCGGCTCGCTTCTCCACCCCCGAGCGCGCCCCCGGCGTCGCCTAGGCAACCCCTCCTCTCAGGAGCGCGCCCTCCCTTCCGCTCTCGCCCTTCGCCTCGAGGCCACGCCCCCTTAGCGCCTATCGGCCAATCCGAAGCGGACCTTCCAAGCCGCGGGAGGCCAGGAAGGAGACTTCTCCAATAAGAAGCCGACTCACGCGGAGGGGCGGGCCCCGCAGCTCTGGCCCGCCCACCGCCGTTCCCTTCTTTCCCGGGCGGGACACGCTGCACGTGACCGCTGCTGCAGTGGAGGAGCCGGGACCTGGTCTGGGGACGCTGGGCGTGGGCGGGCGAAGCGGCGCTGGGGTTGTGGGCTGTAGGCCAGGGCGAAGCCAAAGTAAGGAAAAGGGAAGAACAAACCTGCTCTACCGAAACCTCAGAAAATTAAGAGGTGGCCAAGTGCGCTTGGAAGGTCCAGCTAATTCTGGGGACACCAGCTAGGGGCTCCTGCAGTGGCACCTCCATGTTCCGCCACCAATAATTTAGCTGATGACATCCATTAGCAGTAATGGAGTTATTTAACCAAAGCTTCACTGTAACCTAATCCTGGTCACAACCAAGAGCCAGAACCTTGACCCAGAGTTGGAAGCAGGAAGTGCAGTGGGCAAGCTCATGGCCAGAGGTTTTCTCCAGCAAACTACCCTAGACATCATCTTTAAAAGCCCCACAATTTGTGTTTTTTTTTTAAATCAGAAATAAGGCTTCTACCCAGGGTGATTTTTCTAACTAGCCTTCCCTTTGTAGAGTTTACTAACCAGCACCTTCACATATTCTGTGGCCTCACTGACCTCCACACAGACGTGGCACATCACACTGTATTGCAATTAAGAGTTTAAATGTAGGCCTCTCTAAAGAAGGGCCTACGTTTAAACTTGTTCAGTGTGCTACCCACAGCAACTAGCACAGAATGATTATTTCCTCTGTTGTTGATCATTATAAGTTGGATACATGTGTATTAACAGCTTTGTGCTTTGATTAGGTTGCTATGTATTAGCACGTCCACACACCCCTTCAATATCTGTAGCAAAAGACACAGAGTTTTTTTTTGTTGTTGTTGTTTTTGTTTTTTAATGTAACCAGAAAACCGTTTTATTGTTAGTCTAGTATCTGAAGTATTCAGTTTTTACCCCAACTGTGCACTGTGGACTACTGAGTGCTAATGATATGACAAACTTTGCTGGGTACTCTCAGGAAGAACTGGCAGGAGGCTTCTCAAAAAGGATGCTCTCCAGTATTTATGATCTGGAAGGGGAATCACACCCAAATTTTCCCTATGGATTAATGATGTTTGGAGTCTGGCAGCTTAATCTCAAAGGAAGGCTTTATGTATAACTAGCAGTTACTTAGGAAGTTACTTAACCTCTGTGGGCCTCAGTTTCCCAGCTGTACAATAGGAACAGTTCAGCACACATTCTAGGTATAAAGATTTTTGTGAAATTACACATACAGCTCAAGGTACAGTGCCAGGTGCTAATTTGGTGGGAGCTCCACAAATGTGAGCTAAGGCTGTGATTACTGCCAGAGGTTATGATGTACACTCAAGACCCTGTTAAAACCACCTCTCCTGGGTGCATATCAGCTTTCCTCTGTATGAGTAGCAGGATGTGCTGGGCTGTCTGAGTCCTCTAGAACTCTGAAGGATCCTATATTCAGCTCCTGGATGTTCTGGGCCCTGAGCTGAGTGTGGTAGCTGCCTATGGGATGGCTCCTGCCAGGTCTCAGGGGATCTCCTCTCTGCTGAGCTTCTCCTGCCAGAGCACTGCCTCCTGGTAAAACCAAGAGTTTGAGCAGCAAGACTCTAAGGCCCCTCTAACCCACTGTGCTATAAAAAGAACATTCTAGGTACTCCTTCAAAAGTATTTATAGAGTACTGTGCTAATCTTTAGGGCCATTTGGGAAATATTTCTACTTCTCTTCGCTAATCACTGGATAGGATTGAACTTCTTAGCTGCCTCTGGTTGGATGGAGCCATATAACTAGCACTAACCAATGACTTGTGAGCAGATACAACATGTACATTTTTCTGGGCTGGAGAATTTAATTGCCAGAGTGAATCCCTGAAGAGCTCTCTCATCCTCGGTACTGGGAATGTGTAAGAGGGTGGCTTCTCCCTTAGCCTGGGCTCCTACAATGAGCACAATCCCCCTACCAATCTGTGATGGACATTCAACATAACTGAGAAATAAACCTTTATGGGTTGAAGACACTAAGTGTATTTGTCAGTTCTGTGTTACTATAACACAATAACTGAGGCAGCTAACTTGTGAAGAGTAAAGGTTTATTAAACTTACAGTTTGGCAGGTTTGAAGTCCACAATCAGGTGGGGAAGCAATGATTTGGCCTCTGGTGAAGGCAATATAGATGGTATACATCATGGCAGGAGTACATATAGGAGTGAATAGGCACATCTCTAACAACAAGCAGAGGAAAAACCACTGCCCCACAGTCCTTTCTAAGGACAGCACCCCAACAGCACCATCTTGAGGACCAAGGCTTTAAACATGATCCTCAAATCACACCAAAATCATAGCATTAAGATTTGGAAGTTTTTATTACTGCAGCATAGCTTAGCCCATTCTGACTGATATAAGGTCCAATGATGTACCTAGCTGGTGCTGGGATATAGTAATGAACAACCCAGACCAAAGAATGGAAAAACCAGTAAACAAACAAGCAACTCAACAATTCCAAAATGTGTCCTTATAAATATTTTAGACTAGAAAATCCAAAAATGGTCTCTCCTTGACAATGACATTTAAATTAGGACTTGAATAATGAGGAAGAATTGATCAATCTTGGCTAAAGTTGGGGCTGAGAGGAAGCCCTGAGGAATATTTCAGGCAGAGTAAAAAGCCTGATCTGGAGGCAGGAAAAAATAATAATAATAAGCATGGGACTGAGAACAGCCAGGAGAACGGGAACTGTGAGCAGGGAAAGTGAGCCACACACGGCTGGGGAGGGAGGTGGCGGCAGATCGCACAGAGGTTTCTGGGTGTTGCTAAGGAGGGTCTTGCTAGTGTGTTGGAAGCTACCAACAAGGCTCAAGCCAGGAGGGTGACATGCTTTGATTTAGGTTTTTGCTACAATTTGAATGTTGAACGTTCTCCAAAGGCCCATGCATTGAAAGTCTGTCACCCGTCTGTGGCACTATTGGGAGAAGATGAGCCTTTAGGAAGTGGGAGGAAGTTAGGTCACTGAGGGCATGCCTCTGAAGGGGATATTGGGCTTACCACCTAGGTCTCCAGAGGTGCTTTAACACTAGGGAGGTGGGTGGAGACGGGGGAGGGTGTGGAAAGGATGGCTGACTGATTTCCTCGAACATCACCAAACGTTAAAGCCTCACTGCCATGAGCTGATTATATAAATAGATGATATTATTAGAAAGAGCCCAGACAAGCCCCAGCGTCCCTTGAGATTTGGTGACTGCCTCAATTTGAAAAGAAAGGAGGTTGCCAGTCTACAGAGGGGGAAGGGGGGCAGAGAGCCATTCCTGCTAGAAGTTTTGTAAGGACTCTAAGCAGCAAAAGTAAATGAACTTGCCAGGTCCTGGTGGTGCACGCCTGGAATCTCAGCAGCTTGGGAGGCGGAGGCAGGAGGATCAGGAGTTCAGAGTCAGCCTCAGCAACTTAATGAGGCCCTGAGCAATTTAGCGAGACCCTATCTGTAAATAAAATATAAAATGTGTTGGGAATGTGGGTCAATGGCTCAGCGCCCCTGGGTTCAATCCCCAGGACCAAAAATAGTAGATGAACTTAACCTTCAGCATTTTGATCATTTTTCTGTTCTTCTACGTTTCTCTACCTCTCAGTGCCTAAATGTTTTCTCCCCACTTTCTGCAACCGACTTCTCAGGGACAGGTTTCACCTGTAATAAATGAGTAATGACAGCTCAATGTGTCATGTGTCATTACTCCTTCCTGGACATTTACATCATACAGTTGACCAGAACCTGAAGTCCCAGCCCAGGGGGACAGTTTTAGAGAAGGACGTGAGACTTTTCATCCACACTACCAGGACAGAGCGATTTGCCCCTCCCTCCAGGAAAGCTGGATTCTGTTCTCCTCCAGGGCCCCAGGTCGGTACTGACGGTACTGACGGATTGGCGTCCTCCCTCGGCAGTCTGGTCACCACCCCCAGGGTGTCCTTACCTTGCAGACTCTTGCTGTCAGCTCCCCAAACCTGCTCTGGGTATTTGCTTATTCCCAAACATATTCACATCTTGACTTTGTTGCTTCATTTAATAATTGCCACTAAAACAGAGTTACTGGGGGTTTTAAAAAGTGTGTTTTCCTAAGTGCTATTGAGAGCTTTTCTTCCCTCACCACCGTCTTTCTCCATCATCTCTGCTGCCCCAACCAGGGCCCTGAGCAGCCAGGGGAGACTGATCAGATGTTCCCGGGAATCCCTCTGCCCGAAAGTCAGTGGCCCAAGTAATCAGCCACAGGAAGAGCTTTTGTCTTTCAACAAAAACAAATTCTACTTGGGAAACACGTTAGGAAGAGAAAACAGTTTGTTTCTATGTGAAATTATTGAATTGGCTGGACTTGCTGCTTGGGCATTGTCACTGACACAGCCTCATCTCCCAGAAATGAAGTCGAGTCTGCCCTGTATCTAGTACACCCTCATCACTGCTGCTCACCCGCACCGGACACCTGCTCCTGGCCTCCCTTCCAGCTGAGGTCTGTGCCTGCCGCCTAAAATCCACACAGTAAACAGCCACCACAAATCTGCTTCTGACCTCCAGGTAACCAGATAAAAGCCAGAGTGGGGTGACAGCTGCAAAGCACCAGACTGTGAGCAAAAAATGAGATTCTGTGCTGAGCTCTCTGCAAAGTGGAGAGAGTTTATTTGCAGTCTCCCAGGAAGCCAACCACATCGAAAACAGGAAAAGACCTTGTGGGGTCCCTCCCTCCCTCCCTCTGCTTGTCCCCAGCTAGGAT